GACGATTTTATTTGCGGCCCTATATTTCAATTTACGAGAAACCATTTTCATTAAAAAAAAAATCGACTCTAAAATCTGTCAGGACATTCGTGAAATAGTAAATAACTGTAGCAAGAAATATATCAAGCACTAATAAACAATTCATCGATAAAGTAATTTTCTGCTTACGATACACTTGTGAAATTACGTTTATATTTCACGTCGCAGCAGTGGTTAATACACATAAACGGATCTGTTGGTCAAATTTATGAGCAAACTGACCTATAAAATATACTTCAGGAGTGCCTCGAACGAGCGAAAATAAATGCAGCGCGCCAGGTGTTCGCCTGGATCTATCTTTAGTATGCGCATTCGGCAGACGTAACTTTCCCGATCAATAAAAATATCCACATATCCTGAAATGTTTATTTAACAGTCTGAAAATACTCACCGAGATTATTGCGGATTTTAGGGAACCTCGATTGAACTCGTCTGTAAAGGTTAACAAAACATTTCGATCTCGTTCCTTCTCGAGTGACAAATGCAACGTTTTGTAAAGATAATTTACTTCAAAAATAGTTCTTTTTTTTACAATACGATAAAATTATACGATTAATACCTGCCGATTCTCGATACATTCTTCAGTTTTATCGTTCACCATTTGCAACGAGTAACAATTATATTGTTTAGTATTAGTATCTGAATTCCAATGAGTTGAAATTCATATCTTGAAGTATAAATTATCGCAGTGGAAAGTATAGATTATGACGCAAATTTGCAACCCCACTATTTCAATTCCTCGCTCGATCATAGTTCTTTATATACCAATCAACTGTCTCTTTAATCGCTTGTTCGAAAGGCGTGAACTGAAAATCGGGTAGGTACTTTCGTAGCTTCGCGTTGCTTGCCGTTTTCTTATACTGTCCATCCGCTGCCGACGTGTCATATACCACCTTCCCCTTAAAGTTGAAAGTTCGCGCCAGCGTCTCCGCCACCTGGGCTATCGATTTTTCTTGCGCCTCATCCACTGAAAATTATCTTTTTCTTTTAGCAATTTCTGCGGTAAAGTTAATCAATACTGATAACTGTACTATTGCAACATTTTTTAACAAGGATAGTAGCAGCTACAAAGCTATCGACAACAGTGATATTTACCGAAAAATGATAGAACAAGAATTAGGAAAATAATATCAAGTCTAAATGAATATTTACCTGACAAGATAATTGGTTCCACAGAATCATATTCTCGTAGCGCCCAAATTATTAATTTTGCTAAGTCTATGCTATAGATGAATTGCCTCAAGGGTTTGCCAGAGCCCAATACGGTGAATACTTTATCTTCTGTACTTGCTCCTAACGGAAAATACTATAATTTGACAACAAATTTAAATAACGCTTAAACACAAAACTTATTTTTGTACCATCTTTGCACAAGTCGTAAAGTCTTCGCATTAAACCAGGTATTACATGACTGGCGCTAGGATGAAAATTGTCGTGCGGACCGTATACGTTGCAAGGAATCACACTGGTGTACAGTCTACCGTGCTGATCGTAGTAGCCTCTATTAGCGATATCTATGAGCCGCTTGGCATAGCTGTAGCCGTAATTCGAAGGATGTGGCGGTCCATTGTGAACCTAGAATACATACAATACATACTGATCTACATAGATTTATTACAAGTCGGTGTATCTAATATATGTGTTGCTAGTTACTACCATAGTTTCGTCTATCGGATAAGACGTCTTATCGGGAAATATACAAGTGGAGAGGCACGAAACAATCTTCGTGACACCATACTCGTGAGCAGTGTGCAGAACATTGTCATTCATATGTATGTTATTCCGCTGCAATGAAAAAGACATAATATTAAGATCATAAGTAAGGCCATATTAAAATAAAATGATGAGATACATGCAAGATATCGTGTCCTCCGGGATATTTACCAGAAAGTCCAAGTTGTGCGACATGTTGTGGAAGAGACCACCGACCATGGCAGCTAAATGAATGACATGTGTCGGTCTGTGATCGTCGAATAACTTCCGTGTGCTCTCCTTATCGCTGCGAAAAGTCATTTGATTAATTTAAAATGTCACGTAAGTGACAATACTTTGCAATCCCGCTAGGGTTGATCTAACCTCAATCACTCAATTTAACCTACCACAAGTCTGCATCTTTGGATCCGACAAATATCCACTTTTCGTTTTCCCTCTTGTCGTGCTCGATAACATTTTGAATGGCTCTACCAACGAGCCCCGTACCGCCTGTTACAAGCACAACATTCATGCCGAGATCATTGACGGGATCCTGTTGGATTCGTGACAGCTGACCAGAACAATGGCTGAATCGCTGAATAATTCCAACTGGAAAGCGCCCTCATTCCTCGTTGAAACGTGTCACCAGCAAAATTTTTTTACTTAATTAATCAACTATAATCATAACATTCTACAAAAAAATCCGGCATGACTGACAATACCATCATACGAGACAAAGGGAAAAAAACTTATTTTTTTTAGTTCAACATGTGACCAGTTATCAGCAAATGATGTAGCCTTATAATTCATCATAGATAACGTTCGATGATCAATCATCGATGCAAAACATATTGCACATTATTTATCTTGTGACGCACTGTTGTCGTATTAACATATTCGACTTGTCGACCAACATATTCACAAATTTTCAAGATAAATAAGAGTAGCTTGATTATTAAGAATCTCTTTATTTCCCATGTTTTGTACAAAATAGAGATCAACTTCCTTAATGAACAACGGCTTAATTTTGGAACATATTATCCAAAATACATGCGTAATAATTTCTTAAAACGGTTTAATTAGACCTATCGTTTATTGGTTTTATAACTTTAGTAGAAGACAAAGTTTAAATAAAATAATGTCCTAAGTAGAAATACATGATGATGATATTTCATAGTTGTCGTGGTTTGTCCTTACGTGTTATTTTTTTTTCATAACATGTGTCATCACAGAATGATTACAATAAATGCAACAAATTTCAATCAGTATAAGATCCTGACATGACGAAATATCATCATCATGCATTTCTATCTGGGATTCTTTGTCTTGAGATACTAATTGTAAGAAAATATTTCAGGCAATAGTATCATTCTAAATGTGGATAAAAAATACAGATTAAATATTACCTAAGACAACACGTTCACAATTATCTCTAAATTAAACATATTGAAGCGATGAACGACGAATCGCCACCTTCGAGGCTCGTATTCTTCGAAATTTTCGCGAATGTTTCTCTTTTGTCTTTATTCAAGAGCAATTAATTACATAGAGACCTAAGAAAGTTTGGAAAACCATAAAACATCTTGTGAAAACTACAATTCCTTTCGTAGAGCAGTAAGGAAGGAATAATGTAGAAATTCTACCAATTATGTTCTACGCTAAAAACGATTTTAAAGAAATTGTGACACAACGGGAACTGCATAAAATTTTTTTGTGTAAAAATCGCGAAACTTTTCTAGGTCCCTAAGCACATCTGTCATGTTTCAGCGGATCACAACGCGCTAAATAGTTGGCCACTAACGAGAGTTAAACGAGTGGATAGCTGGCACTGGTTGCTATACCGCAGTGATTGTTCTTGTTTCTGGCCATCTTAATGTAACCGTTTTCACCCCATGTTTCGCCCCAACTGTTCTTTACCAGCCAATAATCTTGGCCGATCTCCGCGTCCGTACCATAGCCGACGACCAGCACGCCATGGTCTAAACTTTCTTCACTGCAGTCGGGATCATAATACACTCCTAAAAAATGTGAGATTTGAAGTATGAAGAAAAGAGAACAAATAAAATAAGTTTCAAATCTTACATAAAAATTAGTCTCACTAATTATTATGAACTAAATTTCCGACTTATAAGATTAATAGCTTTATACGAACTTGTTATCAAGTCAAATTTTTTAGAAATTAATTTATTAACTATATTAAGTAAATTTATATGAATAATATGTACCTTCGCGATAAAGCTGGAAGGAAGGATGAGAGGCATCAATAGCGACCGAGACCGGGCCTACGGTGGCAACCGCAGCCTTTAGCTTCTCCTCATCTCCTTGTGGAATATCTACGTATCCGACATCGATAGCGCCGCTGTTTCTCGGATTGTATCTGCAATTTCAGTAATTTAATTAATCATTAAATTCTACGAACGTTTCAATTATGCTTCTACAATCAATACAAACCTGCACTTGTCATTCTCCGCTTCATATGGGTAACTCTTCTCAGTATCGAGGCCTCTGTTGTCTTTGACATATTGGAATGCCTGATCCATCAAACCACCATTGCATCCATTGTTGCCGTATTTGCCAGAACAGTCGACCAGGTTTTGTTCGCTTAGCGACACTAAAACGCCAGTATTTCTGAAATGTTGTCCTTCCAAAGACCCAGTCTGCAAAAAAA